CCTCGAGCCTCTCTCCCGGGCGTTAAAGCGGGCCGGCGGAGCTCGCCGGGGCCTCACGCCCTTCTCCCCCCCGCCAGTGCCGGAACTGCGACTACCAGCAGGAGGCCGACAACAGCTGCATCTACGTGAACAAGATCACCCACGAAGTGGAGTGAGTCCTCGGGGGCGCCGGGAAGGGCGGGGGGAGGACGGGACGGCGGCACGGGTGTCGCCGCAGGCGTCGGTGACCAGGCCTTGCAGGTCGCGAGGGGCACTCCCCAGCTTCTGGGTGCAGTTCGAGGTGCTGATCGGCACCTTTAAAGCCCTTCCCGGCTTGCGACCGGGACCGCCTCTCCCCGCTTCCTTCTGCCCGTCCTGCCAATCCGGAGGGAAGGGCGTGCTCCGGGTACCATCAGCTGGGGGGTGTGGGCTGGTGGGGCCTTTTCTGCCGCGGCCCCCGCCCTTCGCAGCACCATCCCCCGGAATTAGAGCGGCCCCATCGCTGCTGGCCGTCCGTAAGGCCTTGGAACCCGGCTTTGTGCTCCTGCCTGGGGCCCTGGGCGTGGGCTAGAGCCCCTCTCCCGGTTGTATGATGAGGGCTTAGACCGTGCCGGCTGCTGTGTGTTTTTATTTTTGTTTTATATGATGTATTTTGTGTTTTCATTTGTTTTACGGTCAGCCACCTAGAGTCACGTAAAAGTGAGGTGGGCGGCTATGTAAATCGAGTAAGTAAATAAATAAGTCTTCTTAGAAGGGTCGGTCCACGATGGGACTTCTCTGCATGGCCCGGTTAGGTTCATTTTGCAAAGACGTGCCTACTTGATGGGACTGCAAGTTATCAGTGTGTGTGTGTGTGTGTGTGTGTGTAAGATAGTCAGCTATGATTATTTGCTCAGAGGAGCTAGAAAATGGACATTGTTAAGAAAAACATACCCCTTGTACGCCATAGCAAGGTTCACACGTGTTGCTGAGCTAGGTTGGAAGGGGACTGGGCTGTATTCATTAGGTTTCTATCCTGCCTTTTGTTCTGTATGACGGTTTGTGGCTCAGCATCTTGTGCGAGCCCAACCTTTGCCCTGGCGTGCTGGCTGGGGCAGGCCATCACCTGAAAGCCATAACACAGTTTGAGCTTAGCATGTAATGTGAACACAATAATTTGCTTTGTTAAGTTTAGCATGTTGTGTGAACAAGCTAAATTGATGATAAAATGATATGACTAGAAAAGTAAGGCAGAAAAAGCAGGAGTGTTGGGCTAGGAAATAGAACAAGTGCCAAGACAGGGAAAATCAGCAAAAAGGAGCAAAAAGGCGTTTAAGGGTTTGGGGAGATGGGAGTTTAGGAATATAAACAAAGAAACAGCTGAACTAGCAAGAGCAAGAAAACAAGAGGTTAGCTTTAAAAGCAAAGGCATTTACAGATATCCAGCACTAAGCAGATGCAGAAATCAACCAAGCTCATAGAATGCCAAGAACCCAACAGTTCAACCCTGAGTTGCATACATTTTCTACTATTGGATTGAGCATGCCTTTTGTCTGTTGTAAACCGGACCGGTCAGGTTAAATAAATCAATCAATCCAATGTTTTGCTTTCAGCGAATTAACCCAGATCATTGCTGACGTTTCTCAGGATCCAACTCTGCCCCGTACAGAAGACCATCCCTGTCAGAAGTGAGTACCTGTTGCTTTAACTTAAAAATCTTTGAGAAACGCATTTGGCATAAAACAGCCGGAGGCAGGATTCTTCTAAAGCTTGAAAATGAGCAGAATTTTTGTGCTTCTTGGAGGTTTTATCCTGATTGTTTTATTCTTTCCAATCTAAAGGAACGATGGGAGGAAACAAGGCTAAGGGGCTTAGGACGGTGTGCATCTGTGCGCCTGACCTCCAGTAGGAGAACTCTGCAAGCAGAACAGAGAGGGGCCAAATTTGGATTGTGGGAAGAAGCTGGCAGAAGGAAAATCAGAGTTGAAAATAGGCTGGACTGGGCCAGGGGCTGCAGTTGGAATGCTGATGACCTTCCTATTTCAGTCCCTCCCACCCCCTGGTCAAGAGACCCACTGCAGAGTGAATGTGGCCCGCCCGTGCTTCCCTGCACATGCATGCACACACACACACGCATGTGGCTGCTGTTGGTAAAGAAGTGGAAAGGATTCCAACAGCCATGTTCTGCATGTTTTCCCTACCTTGTTTATTTGCTGGTTTTGCCTTCCAGATGTGGCCACAAAGAAGCAGTATTTTTCCAGTCTCACAGCGCGAGGGCCGAGGTGAGAATGTGCCTTTTTCACTTAGGGCCAGTTGGGAGTTTAGCCTTAGGATGACACCCCTCTGAAATGCCGTGAGTGGAAAAGGAGCTAAGATGGTGACTAGTCACAAGAGGGGATGCCTTTGGAGCCCAGCACTCCCCGCCCAGAGGTCTGACTGCATTTTCAGCGGATGTTGTAGGAGTGAAGGGTGTTCGGTCTGGGCTCTGAACAGAGACCTTTCCAGAGTCTGGAAATGCGGATTAGACAGGCTTCCTTAATGGAGGGCCTTCCGGAAGGGTTGAGCTTCTGCTGCATCCTCTATGACCCGTGTGGGCAAAAGGGTTGTACTCTAACGGTCTGGAGGAGACCAGGTCGGAAAGAGCTGATTTAGGAGCCCGCTGGAGGTCTGGGAGAAGGCCTTTCCCTTTCCCAAGTGACGTCTCTGCAGGAAATGACCTCCGGAATCACACCAGCATGGCTGGTCTCTTCCCTCTTGTTTCTCTTCAGGATGCCATGCGCCTGTACTATGTCTGCACAGCCCCCCATTGCGGCCACCGTTGGACAGAGTGAAACACTCAGAGATGGCCAGGCCTCTGCCAGGCCTCTTCCTGTCTCCTGGCCGCAGAGTACTTCCCTGCTATTTATCAGTTCACGCTGTCTGAATCGTATTTCGTTTTTGCTCTAATAAATGATTTATTTTTTACAGAAGACTCAACCTTGTGCATGGAGTGGGGCTCAGCAGAGGTTATACTGTGGCATGCTTGCTGCTGTCTGAGCTTGGTTATTTGCTTGCAGATGTTTCATTACCCAGCTAGGCAACATCATTGGTGCGAGCAAGTGCGGGGTTTGCTCTGTTTCTATACACTAGACTGCCCTGCCAGTGTTGCTGGGGGTGTGGTTTTCTCCTTGGTAGTTCCTTGATTAGGGTGTTGTTTGGAAAAATACAGGGAGCAAACCCCACACTTACCAGCACTGATCATGTGACCTAGTTGGGGAACAAAACATCTGCAAGCCAATCACCAAGTTTAGAGAGCACCAAGGACTCTGCTGTTCAACCCTGAGCTACAGAGATTCTCTTTATTAGAGGTTATATTCTTTGTGATTTAGGCTTTAGATCACAAGGAAGAAGAAAGTGCCTCTGAATACAAGCACAGCGTGTTCCCTTTCTAATCAGCTGGGGAACATTTGCCCTCCCACTTTTTCAATTCACTTGCTTGGAATTTAACCACTCACCTTGTGGGCAAGAATTTAATGACAAAAGGTTCTCTAAGCTTCTGAGCCCTCTTTTTCCTTAAGGTAGCTCTATTTCACTTATGAGAGCCAGTTTGGTGTCGTGGTTGAGGCACCAGGATAGAAACTGGGAAGCTGTGAGTTCTAGTCCCACCTTAGGCACAAAGCCAACTGGGTGACCGCCAGTCCTTCTCTCTCAGCCCTAGGAAGGAGGCAATGGCAAACCACTTCCAAAAAACCTTTCCAAGAAAACTGCAGGGACTCATCCAGGCAGTTGCTAGGGGTCAAAAACTGACTCGAAAGCATAAAAAATAAATAACCTATGGACACCAGTGTCCAATGAGTAGAAATTAACACATCTCAGTAATAGTGATTTAAGAGATACTAAATTTCAAAAAAAGTTACAGGAAATAGCAGCCAAAAAACCGCAGCAGATAATTTTTGGATAAAGGGCTGCAACATGTGCCCAGCCAAACATTTTAATTGGTGTCAGGAGCAAAATAACAAGGAATATTCTGCTGCGTGGATATCTAGAAAAATCTCCTTTGGAGTTTCACGCTATTCACAGTTGTATGAAACTGCTTCTTTGCATACCATCACCAGTTGCTAGGTTCTGCTTCTCTTTCATGGGTTGCAGGTTTTTTAAACCCTGCCTGCTTTGTGATCTCAGTAGACAGAGTGGTAGAGAATGGGTAACGGAGTCTGAAAACCTGCTGGCCCAGGCTTCGGGAATTCTCCCCCCAAGAAGCCGCTGGTGGAGTGGCCCTGGCGCGTGTGCCCGTAGTACTCATCGCTGGTGCTGCAAGTGAAGCCACACTCCTCGCACACAAAGAGCTTGGTGCGGCGCTCCCGGTAGCCATAGGACTGTGGGATGCTATGGATTTTCTTGAGGTGGGACTCCAAGGAGCAGCGCTGGGTGAAGCCTTTGTCGCAGAGGCAGCAGCGGTACGGACGGATGCCTGCAGGGACCAACAAACTGAGTTTGCGGAGCTCAGGGGAAGGAAGACGCAGGCGCCTGGCTTTCTGGGCGTCTCACCTCCCTCAGTGGCTGGTTGCTGCTACACGCTGCATGGGGAGGAACATCAGTCCCACACTCCACCCCCCAATACCTTAAAAGTCTATTGTAGAATGGCTTTGTGGATAAACTATATTGAGTCGTATCAATACAGAGGGGTTGATGATCAGTTGTTCCTTAATTTAGGTCCTAATAGACCTCTTGCCCAAATGATAAATAAAAAGGGGGTATATCTCATAACTAGAAGGAGGTTCGTTTATCTTGCTTCCAGGGTGAGACAATACAGATTTCCGTTCTTGAAAGAACTAGCCATGTGGAAGAAAGGGGGCTTAAACATAGAGCAGTGCTTTTAATGGTTCTTATAAATGATGACTTCTCTCTGGGAGGAAACAGAACAGAGACTAAGAGCTTTTGATTTCAGAATGGCAAGGGGCTCAGCATTATTTCTTGGATCTGACCCTGCCACCATGACCTCTGAGTAAAGCATCTATTCTGCAGTCGTCATCTTAAGTCTGATTTTGAACTGGAGTAGCCTTTGTGGCTGAGACACTTGGGTTAATTTTTCATCATTCTTGCTTTTCCCATTAGTTTTCTCTTTTTTTTCCTAACTCTTCTTGCGGAAGAAAAATTCTGGAGAACCTGGAAACTTATACATGGTTCTCATCAGTTATTGCCATTATGGAAGACTTTTTCTCAAGGACAGACATTGCTTGCTATAGTTGTTGCAAAGATCAGAGTAAGGAAGCACTCAATGTTCCTCTTACTTGGTGGCCCGGGGGGAGGGGGCTTTGCTGCTTATTCCTCCCTTAGTGCCTACCCTCACCTACCCTAGTTTGTTTTTTTTTTAATTACAACTTTTCTTAATTCTAAACAAAACTAGAAGTTGATGTGCTGTAAATCCACCAGCCTTCTGGATCATCTCTTCAAGAACATCCTTGGTGTCTCACCACTTCCACAAGTATTTGTAGAAAATAAAAACAGGAACTGGCTGCAATTCAGAGCATTATCAATGTGTCTCCCTGCCCTACTGTGATGGAATGGAATTATGAAGGCCAGGTTCAGGGAGATAAACATTTTCTTGGCTCGCCGGAGGAGCGTGGGAGCTAAGAAAATGTTTATCT